TATTCCTTTGAATTATTCCCAGAACTAACTATTTATATTCAAGTATGGTTTACCAAACAGGTCGATATTTCACTCCCTCATTATATTCATTTACAAACTGTTCAGTTAGAGTGATACTGCCAGGTATAAAAAAAAATAACTCCAAGCGCGGAAGAGAGGTATATTAAGTGAAAATTCCGAAGCTTTTGGTATCAACTGCAAAATTCCAAGGCTGAAATTATCATAATAAACACGCTTTAGGATTCCATGAACACATTAATATTCATGTGGGGTAGTGGAAATATTCATAAACTAGGGGTTGTTTTGCTATTTGCCATAATGGTGCTGAATGATTGATAATATTTCAAGAGATATTCTTGAGATAATCATAAGTCTCCCATAGAAGTCGACATAGAAGAGCACATCCCGGTGCTGAGAGACGGGTCCAAAAAGTTATCTCCACCCTTAATAACACATAGGGTGATTTTTTTTCAGAATACAATTTGATTCCATTGTTACTGCAACATCAGATGATCCAGTAGAATAGGTTAGGTTAGGTCAAAAGTGAGTGCGTTTATTCGATCCTCCACCGTAACTCGCAAGGGTTTTTTGTGGCTTACACCTATTCACACTCGACCAAATAAACGTAGATTTTTAACGAAGCCGATTAGTTTGTATGGTGAGTGGTCTTTCAGGTCAGATAGTGAGAGTACGGCTCTGCCGGACTCCAAAAACCTGATTTGGTACCCAGCGGAGCAGACAAAAAGTATGTACTCTGCTGTTCCATCCTTTTTATTTACACAGGCGACACACACTGTCATTCGACAGTCCAAGTCTCTGCATATGATGATTCAAATGGCAATGACCTGAAAAGAAGACTTGTTAGACATCGTAGTTCATCCCTAATGTAGTCCTACAACTGTTTGGTATCAAGCTTCGAAGGGTGACTGAATGCCTTGGAGTGAGCCAATCCTGGAAGATTCTGCCAGATATTCAATCTTTGTTTGGCAAAACCTGAAGCGATGCCACTGACAGGTTATGGTCCGATGAAGCTGCTTGCAGCACCCCCCTTTGCGAGGGAATCAGCAGCCTCATTGCCTTACAGGCCAATGTGGCCAGGAATCCAAACCAGAGACAATTTGTTGAGTATTCCTATTGAGGGGAGTTGTTTTTAGTAATTTGCCACCAACTTAGATGTTGCTTGGTAGGAGCCAAGGGCTTCCAATGCCGATTGACTGTTCAAGAATATTTTTTTGATGATAATTTTTATAGACGAGAGACAAGTTCAAAAAGTTACCTCTACCCTTACTAACCTATAGGGTTATTTCTTCTTCAGAATAAAACTTGATTCCATTGTTACCGCGACATCAGATGATCCAGTAGCTGGTGATTTTAACCTTTATACAAAAATCTATTTGTCAAATTCGATTCCGTTAGTTGAGAAAATCAAATTTTTGTAGTAGATAGTTACAAGACACCAGAAAAATATCAAATAATTTTTATTTTGAAAAATTTATTCCGAATAATTTTTTTTGATAACCAACTCATCGCCAAAATCAGAAAAAAAGAATGGAAAATCTATATCTATACTATCTTTATCTATACCAATGTTATTAATGTGAAAGTTCGTGAGGATAGATAAATGTATGTTTGTGGCTCTTTCAGGCCTAAATAACTGAACATATACATATACAGCTCATACATGAGAATAACATATAGGCTACAATCTACAAAGGTTTTGTGTAGTTTTGGTCATAATATAACGATAAGTATTAAGAACAGATCTCGTTGTTGGTTGTGTAAGTTTTGCGAAATATATTCATAGGTAATACAATTCGATTATCGAAGCTATTCATTTCTTAGTGTTGTTGGCATATTTTTTCAGTAACTGTATGTCTAAAGTAGAAATACAAAGTACTAGCCGCGGGCTACACCGCGGCTTCGCCGGGTAAAATTTTGGTTTGGTTTCTTGACAGACCATTTTAAACACATAGTTACTATAATTTTTAATAACCCTAAACACTCAAAGAAACTGGCTCTGTGAAAAATCGTTTCAAGAAACCCCATAACCCGATAAAGTATAATGAAGAACAACTCAATGTTTGTTTGAGCGTTGTTGAAAACGGAAAAACTGATATCGGGAGTATTAGTGAAGATACAGAGGTTGGCAGAGAAACTGCGAATAATTTTGTACAAAAAAAATTCCATTCCTATAAGCCAAAGTTCATACACACTCTCAAAGAAAGAGATTTCGATATTCGAGTAGGATTTTCTTTTTGGTTCCAAGGTGAGAGAGAAAATTATAACGCATTTTCCTACAGAATTGTATGGACAGACGAGGCAACTTCTACGTCGAACGGAAAAGTTAGTTCCCAAAATTGTCGCTGGTGGTCCAACAATAATCCAAATTTTGTAATAGAATGCTGTGACAAATATTCATTCATGTGTTATTACATAACCAAATAATTGGACCATATTTTTTTAGAGGAAATTTGAACGCAGACATGTACAGAAATTCCATTATGAATTAGTTGTCTGAAGCTTTGGATAATGTGCCTCTGAGTGTAAGAAAAAAATTGTGGTATTAGCTTGATGTGGCACAGATCCACCAAACGATAGAAGTGAAACAGTGTTTAAGTCAGATGTTCAGGAACAAAGTGATAGGACGAGATTGGAAAGATTATTGGCCACCAAAGATCACCGGACTTATCTCTGATGGACTTCTTTTTATGGTTGAAAACGAAGTAAAAATTAAATTACACATTTTGAAATTGCAAAAAGCTGGGTTTGCCCCAACAAGGCAGACTGTTAGAGAGATGGCTTTCAGATTAGCTGATTTCATGAAAATAAAACACCCATTTAATAAAGAAAAAGGTGTAGCTGGGTATGACTGGCTACACCCTTTCCTTCATAGAAATTCCGATTTAAGTATAAGAAAATCTGAAGGGGTGTCTTTAACTAGATGCCAAGGCATGAATAAACAAGAAGTAAGAGATTATTTTGCCTTGGTAGGAAAAACTCTACTCGACAAAAACATATTAAACTCTCCAGCACAGATTTATAACATGGATGAGATTGGTTTGCAGCTCAATAACAAACCTGAATATGTTATTGCCAAAAAAGGTTCTAAAAATGTAACGGCGCTTACATCTTCAGAAAAAGGTGAAACGGTAACTGTATTGTCTTGTTGTAATGCAGAAGGTGCGTTTCTCCCACCATGTTTGATTTTTAAGGGAAAAAATAAAAAGCAGGAGTTTGAAGATGGTATGCCTCCTGGATCAAAACTTTACATGAATGCAAAATCAGCGTACGTTAATAGTGATATATTTTTAGATTGGTTAAAAACCCATTTTGTTCCACAGAAACCTCACGGGCCCGTTGTACTTTTTTTAAATGGCCACTCCTGTCACTGCAATTCCGTTGAAGTGCTAGAATATGCTGAAGCAAATGACATTACACTTCTTTGCTTTCCGAGTCATACGATACAGTTCCTGCAGCCATTGGATAGATCATTTTTTAAGTCCTCAAAATCTCATAACAATTCTGTCTTTAATACTTTTGTGAAAACTAACCCAACTAAGAAAATCAATCGGCTATCCTTTGGCAAGTTATTTGATGATGCATGGTCAAAATCAGCAACTGTTGAAAATGGAAAAGGAGGTTTCAAAGCTTGTGGATTATATCCGTTCAATCCTAGTGCGATACCAGAGTATGCATTTTTAACTGAATGTGCATTTAGTCATAGTCAAGAAGAACATAGTACACTGGACAAAAGAGTACTACCAAACCATTCATTGTCACCTCTTCCCTCCACGTCTGCTGAAGAAAAAAACATTACTCCTGGAACTCTTCTTGAACAAATTACACCTGTACCTTCAACAAGTAGCGCTGACCAGGTAAGGAAACGTGCTAAGCAGGTAGCAATGGAATAAACTAGTCCAGACCATATTGAAAAAAGACGAAAGAAAGAAGAAGAGGAAGCTACGAAGGAAGTTAAAAAAACAGTAAAGGCAGAAAAAAGAGCAAATAAGGAAAATTGTATAAAACTTATTAAGAAAGTTGATTTAGGAAATGCGAAGAAAATATCATCACTATCAAGAAAACTAGTGGAAGCCTCATCTTCTGAGGTTTCTGATACTAATATTTCTCTATCTGATCATTCATGCGATGACATCGATGAAAATGATAACGCTGAATGTGCTGGATGTGGTGAACCTTATACAACTACAAAGAAACAAGATGATTGGATTCAATGCGTACACTGTACCGCATGGTTTCATGAAGGTTGTTCCAAATATATCAACCTGTGGCATGGATGTGGAAAAGTGCTCTCGAAAACAAGAAATTGAAGTCAAATATGATTTTTGCATATACTAATAATCAAGAGTCATCTCAACCATAGTGTAAGGGTCATCTAACCCTTACATTACGGGTGAGATGACCTTCTTTGAGTTTTTTTTGAATTAATATTTTGTCTGAAAGTGTATTCTTTTGTTGTTTTTTACCTTAATAGTAAATATGTTTTCTTTTGGATAATAAATGATCAAATTTTTTTAAACCCTGTAGTTATTTATATTGAAGTTATAAAAAAAATCAAAAGGCGAGTCATCTCTCCCCGAACTACCCTAGTTATTCAAATAGTAGCAAAAAATGTTCAAAGTACAGGAGCTCAATGTAGAAAATAATCATACTTTACTGTTATACACATCCTCAACTACATAATTCGTTTGTTTCTGAAGAATATACTTATTAAGGTTTTTGAATTCGAAGATGAGTTGTTGAAATTGAAGTGGAATACTCATTACCAAAGATCATGGGAGTTTTCCCATCAAGGGTGGAGATAACTTTTTGGACCCGTCTCGTAGACAAAAAAATATATTCATGCAAAGTAACGAAGTATCTCAGGATACAGAGTTTCGTTGTTCCAATTGCTATTCGAAATATAACTTAATTTTGTAGGATTTGAGAGTTAAGCTCGCAATGATTGGCAACATTCATTAAATGCAAATGATTTCTTACAGATTCAGCCATCCTCAGATACGTTCCCGTCTAGAGAAGCTGATGGGCTCCAATACAGTAAGCCTGACCGACAGAAAGTACATGCAACGGTTACAAGAACGTATCCTGGAGGACTATGCGGAATCTATGGACAAAAGAATTAGAATCAGAGAGGTTAGTAGACATGCATAATGACAGAGTTGGGTTGGGTTTATATATAGTCGAAAGCTGCATTCGGATGTTTTTCAAATTTTGTATTCAGTATCCGTATCCGTGGCCAAATTTATAAGTATCCGAATACCGAATACTTTTTTCGATCTTCGGATACTTAATTATTCGATGAATGAGAACCAGACCAAACAGCCCCATTTTATGCAGGCGTATCTTGTCGCATTTTGTGACTCTGAAAAATGAGTTATGAGAGTGCCTCATATATCAAAAATGTGCAGTAGACCCCACTTGGGGCTTGTTTCCTTCCGTTTACGGGGTTGGGACACCCAAACTCGAAGTTCAGCATCCTCGAAAACGGGGTGAGGTAAGGCGGTAGAATCTTTTACAGCCTTACCTTACTAAAAGATACCAAGTAGGTACCTATCAATCTCGTTGAATCAGAATCTATTTCGTATATGCGTGGCCATTTCATAATTGCCATATCAATTATCCATTCGTTATAAAGAACCCTGATAAAATTCATTTCATTTGTGAACATTTTTTGTACCCATTTTTAATAACTCTGTATAATTGAAAATAAAATATTCGTTAGATATTAACGTTAGATTTTTTACAAGGTGGAGACAATGTATCTTTTGGATACTTGTTGCCCCGTCTAATTTCTTTAATTAACAAGTATGAAAAACTCATTGCCCAAACCCAAAATAAATTGAAATATGCAGGAGAACATTTAGCAAAAATGTGCATAAGAAGTTCAAATACTCGTTTTGATAAAATTTCAAATTTGGAATGGAAAGATCCAATTATAGCAGCAGTTCTGTTTCTTCACTAAAGTGGTATAACATTGTGAAAAATCCAAAAAAATCTTTGAAAGATATTAAAAAATGTATAATAAATGTTACAAAAAAACAACGAACAATGAATCTTACAACGAATCAGATGAAAGCGGGGACCAAAATGTGGAAGAATTTTTTGATTTCACGGATTCCCAAGATAACCAAGAAGTAGGCACTGTAGGCAGTAGTAGTACTATGAACGAACAGGGTACTGAGGCTACCAGTGAAAGTAGCAATAAAACTACAAAAATTCAGCTGGAATTATTAAGATACCTGGAAGACAAAAAAACGAATTTACAAGTATTACATGAATACCCAATATTAAAAAAAGTGTCACTCAAGTATAATATATGCTTACCTTCATCAGCACCAGTAGAAAGACTTTTTTTGCAACTATGATTGATAAGCCAAAGATAAAAAAAATTAAGTGATGAACACTTTGAGGTATTGGTACTGACGAAGGCAAATTCAAACTCAAAGGTACTATTATAGATATAAATGTCACATCTAGCGAACAATGTGGTAAAAGCTAAATATTTTTTTCCACTGAAATGTTCTTTGTTTACAAAATAAATATAAACAGTTTTTTGAGTTTCTTTTATTTTCTATCTTTTTTTATCACTTTTTGTTTTTGATATTCATCCCTAGTATTTTTACTTGTATACATCAAACTAACTACACGGATACTCTTACGGATACTAAAGTATCCGTGAAAGTATCCGAAAAAAGTATCCGAATACTTGTATTCGAGGACATTTTTAGGTGAAAGTATCCGTAATTTTTTAAAAAATATCCGGATACATTGAAAGTATCCGTATCCGGTATTCGGATCCTTTTTTCCTGTATCCGTCTCAAACCTGCATGATGGTGACCCATTGAATAAAATCCTTCTCAGTGAGAGGTTTGAGGGGATAATAAGGAGTATTCGAAAATATATCAAAAATGTGTACAATATTCAACCAATTTCTAAGCAGAGAACAAAATCCGGGCTATATTGTAGGCCGTGGTCGAATGGAACCTAGAGTACCGAACGTTTCGTCTGCTACTGCGGCACACACCGTCAGTGATATGTGCGTTTGTTGCGACAACGAAGTCTCCGTATTGTTCATTACTGACACTTTGAGATTTAACTTTCGTTGCAGGGTCAGTTAAATGAAAAAATTCGATTAAAAAAATAGAGAAATAAGAAAAATATAATCGTAAAACATAAAGACGTTCATGAAATATCATTATGGTTTTCTCTCAACTTCAAGTAAAAGATAAAACTGTAACCTCTGTAAATTAAAAAGCGAGCATTTTTCCAAATCACCAGAAATGGAATACGCTTCTCGACGCGCTTTTTACCAACCAAGTTGGCCTCTTCAGGTGATGAAGCAAACTGATTACTAACTATGAAACTCTCTATTTATTTTCATAAACTCCACCTTACGATTTCATCTCCACAAACTTTATTGTAAAAAAATATCACGACATGTTTCGCTAACACAGTAGCTTTTTCGTAGTTATTTACATGTTAAAAGTTCATTCAGTCTGATACTCATATACCCAACGTACACGAGGTACGTCGGGTATATTCGTCTGGGTACGTCAATAATAATACTTCATGGGTTTTAAGAAAACAAATTCAATACTGGTGATTAGAATGTTCGAATTTTTAGGTCCATTAATTTCAATTTCTTCTGATTTAGATTCAAACTTTTATTTTCTATGTGTGAAATTTCGAAATCTTCGTTAAAAATATGATTTTTTTCTAAAAGACGATTTGAATATGTTGAACTTGTTTTCTCATTCACATAGCTTATATGATGTTCCTGGATATGATTCCTAAATGTTCTGCCAGTTTGACCAATATATACCTTAGAACACGTTCCACACTTATAATGTTATACTCCTGATTTCTCGAATCTGGATGTTTTGTATTTAGTATTTTCAACAAACTTTCCTAAAGTATTACCTGTTGGATAGACTGGGTACAGTTGAAATGAAGGACGGTTGAAACAGACCAAATATCTCGTAAACAGTTACGCGGGGAGTGAAAAGGGTGTAAGGGAAAAAAAGAAGCCAACAAAAGGTCCAAATACGAATTCAGTGCCGCGCCGCTTCTAGCGCGCTGTCGTTGAGTGCAGGACGTCACATTGTTTTTTGTTAGCCAAAAGTAAGTATTTTCTTCTGACATTAACGCTTATATTTTCTGTTTTTTCTCAGTGAATGTATTGAGTGTGTGGTTGTGGTTATTATGACACTTGTAGAAAAAGGGATAGTGACTATTTTTAATGTGTAACTATCGTAACTATGAAGTATATTTCATCAAAAGTGGGGTTGAGGATGGTTGAAACATTTGTTATGGGTACGGTTGAAACAAAAAATATATTGATGTTTATTCTTTGTAGATGCCGAGAATTCGGTTGCGGAAGACTTCCCGGGCTATAGTAAAGCATATGAAGAGGTAAAAGTTGAAGATTCACTACAGAAAGCGGCGGACAAGCATGGTATAAACCACTGTTTCATGTTAAGATATATTCGGAAGCGAGAAGCGTCCGGCAAAGACAATGAAGGTATGGGTTTATAATGGTATGGGTTTATAATGAAGATCAGGAGCGAGAATTATCAAAATATTTGATTCGATGTTCTGATATATATTTCGGGTTAACTACGAAAGAGGTGAGAAAATTAGCTCACGAACTCACCATTAAGTATAATTTATTCCGACCTCGAACTTGGGAAGACAAAGGAATGGCTGGCGAGAAATGGTTTCGGATATTTATGAGAAGGAACCCTGAAATATCCATACGCGACTCACAAGCTACAAGCTTATCAATAGCGACGAGCTTAAATAAGACTAACGTAGACGTATATGATATATAGACGTATGATATTACAGATGAAACCGGCAAAACCACCGTACAAAAACCTGACAGAGTTATAGCAAGACGTGGTGCTCGTCAAGTTGGTTCATTAACTTCAGCAGAAAGGGGTACTTTAGAGACATTAACCTTTGCAGTTAACGCCATTTGAAATGTTTTCCCACTATTGTTTGTATTTCTGCGAGTACGATACCAAGAACATTTTGTTAGGGATGGGCCAATAGTCTGCTGGAACCGCAAATCCCTCAGGTTGGATGCAAGATAAAACATTCCTGCATTTTCTAGAATACTACATTTTAAAGTTTCTCCGTCACACAAAGTGTTACTCATATTAGATAACAACCCCTCACAAGTACACATAAACACACTGGACTATTGCAAGAACAAATAAATCATTTTATTGTCCTCTCCTCATTGCTTTCATAAGCTTCAGCAACTCGATCGATCCGCATATGGCCCTTTGAAGAAAGCTCTAAATTTCACTTGTGATGCGTGGATGAGAAACCATCCAGAGAAACCATGTCAATATACGATATACCGGGGATTGTAACATCTGCTATGCCCCTCGCTATGATATCTTTCAACATTCAAGCTGGCTTTCGCAAAACAGGAATTTATCCATATAACCGTAATCTGTTAATTGAGATCGAATATGCTTCCTCATTTGTAACAGATACACCTAATCCTGAAAATACAACTGAGTCTGCAGTTGATCCTATATTTAATGAAAATCCAACTGAAGATGAAACACCACCGTTATCACCTTCTCCTTTAACTGAAGAATTACAGTGGCCTCTCCAAACAACAGTTGAACAACAAGCTATCTATGATTCACTAGCTCCACTGATACACCAGAGAAAGAATGAATGAGGAAAGAGCATGAAGCAGAATTGAAACGTACCGAAGCTAAGCAAGTTAAGAAAAGATTGAATAAAAGACGAGGCAAAAAAATAATACTCAGCAAGAGTTATCATCGGAAGAATCAGAAGAGGAAGAATGCTACTGTATTGTTTGCTGAGCATCATATTCAGAGAGCAGATCCAGAGCAGATCCAGGTTTTCATTCAGTTGATTCAGAATGTT